TTTTTTAATTCTCTAATCTACCCTAGTTTAACACTTGCAGATCCTTTTTTTTTTTTTTTTTCAGATTCAACGATAAAAGATATTCGAACCAAATTACACACATTTTGATTAAATTTTTTTTTATCTAATCAAAGACATATCATTCATGTCGAAATTAAAGATATTCATGAGAGATCAATTATTTTGTGACTTTATCTCAAAGAATTATTTAGATTCAAACTCATAATACCTCTAAATTTAAAGTTTGTCTTTATTGCAACTTGAGCTATACCTTGGATATAGGGGTGTCCATGGGGCAAGTAGGGCTAAGCTTGCAATATTTTTTTCAAGTCAGGTTGGACGTAAATCGAAACCCTTATTCATATAAGTTATCGGGTGGGCCAGACGGGACTTCCGGTAGAAATAAGCCACCTATTGCGCAACCCATCATTAACTAGGTGGGCTTTATGGGCCTTGTTGGACAGTCTTTTATATATATATATAATTCATTTAAAATATTTTTAACTTAATATTTTTTAAATTACATTTTTGAATTAAAGCAGTAGAGTTAAAATTGAAAAAAAATAAATAATGAATAACTTTATTTAAATAAATTAGAATCATATATTACCACTAAATTTTTAAAGTTTTAATAATAAATTTATTTCCAATAATTGAGTGAAAAGACAAACAGGCTAAGTGGGCGAGTTGGGCTATGCTGGCGAACAAACTCATGGGCTGAGGGCTCAGTTTTTGTGGGCCGATTCATGGGTCAAATTTCGGGCTGCATAAAGTGTTTGAGAATAAATTCAAACCTTCTTTGAAAAGATATTAGATTCAGGTTAGAACCGATCAACTATTAGATTTATTAAACTTCGAACCTATTTTTTGGTCTGAAATAGAATCCGTGGGCGGGTTCAAAGGCCATGGATTCCTCTACTTGGCTACTTCCGATCCATTTAGCGAGTAACACTTTTCCATATACGCGTGAGTAGCTGCCACCGGTACAGACGACGTCACCGCTAATCTAACTTAGAACCAGACTTCGTTGGTTGGCGTGTCCGGACTTAATGCGTTTGGATCACCGCCAACTACCCCATCCTGTCTCTCTGTTCTCTATTAAAAACCCGTTCGATTCTATATAATCAATGGATGGTCGGTTTATTTGTTGCACGGCACACCCCTGCGCATTCTAGCCAAGTCCATCGGCAAAAAATGGTCAATTCGACTCAGCTCAAGTCCGACGCTCTTATGGAGCAGATGAAGCTCCATCTCTCCACCGACGCCGGCAAAGAACTCACCAAGAAGATAGGCCTCGTCTATCAGATCAATATCTCCCCCAAGGTCTCTCTCTTTCTCTCTCTCTCTTATGCGTACTGGCATATTTTCGCTCGATTTGCTTGCTTAAATTGAATTACAAGCCCTAACTTGTAAGCTTATGGTACAGAAAATTGGAATCAATGAGGAGGCGTACGTTGTTGATCTTAAGAAAGGGGAGGTCAAGAAAGGTTAGGGTTTCTGATTCCCTCTCTAATTGGTTATCTCGTTTATATAGTTCTTGATTTCATTTAAATTGACTGAAGTTGAAATAACTCATTCTTTTGTACTGTACTTGATTTCATTTGAATTGACTGAAGATGAATTCAGTAAATAAATAAGTGTTGATAGAATGGGGTTAAGTTATCGAATCCAGAATTAGGTAGTACTCTTCCCGAATCCTATTTCCAGCCCCTGAATTTCTAATTTTGTGACTGGTCTGTGATCAAATGATGAATCAATGTCCTGTTCTTCCTTATTTGCAACTGAAAGTTAGTACAAAAACTGGAAATTGTATTTGACCAATGCTTGTTTGGCCTTCATTTGCTAGTTATAATCGTTATTCATCCTCTGAAGCAAATGAATGTATTGAATGCCATGATTTTGATTTGCTTGTTGGTTGTTTTGGTCAATTTAGGGCAATATGAGGGTGGGAAGCCTGATGCGACCTTTTCTTTTACGGACGATGATTTCCTTAAGGTTGCCACTGGGAAGATGAATCCCCAATTTGCTTTCATGAGGTATGAATTGAACAATATTTCATTGGGTTTTAGTTCCTAATTCTTTATTTTAATGTCCTCTTGTGATATCATTCTACTGTTTTGACATTTTTTGGTATTTTGGATGGACACAGGGGTGCAATGAAGATCAAGGGTAGTCTCAGTGCGGCTCAGAAATTCACTCCTGACATCTTTCCCAAGCCGTCAAGGATGTGAGCAGGCATGTTGATGATCTTGAGTGGTACTCACCCTGGGGTTGTTTTCGTTGTCTATCAGCTTGGTACTTTAATCTGAATTTCACACCTGTATTAGGAAATTAGAAATTGTCCAAGTCCAACTGATCATAAAAGAAAGTAGCCAAGTCTGTCTGCCAGTATCTCCGATAGGCGACTTTTATCTCTTCATGAAATCTCCTACTGGATTAAAGGCTAGCACATCAAAAGGAATTTGATATTTAAATATTCACATTATACTTCTTGTACCATTTGAGGTCCATCGTTGAAGTAAAATAACCTCTTGCATTCTTAGATGTATTGTCTTTGAGATATATAGCTTCCAAATAATGTTTATCTAGGTCAGAGATCTCTTGCTTCATAGTGTTCAACCTCATGCAGGATGAATTGGTTATGGTTTCTGTTAGCATTTGTTTACTAGGAATCCTATTTGGATGTGTCAGTTTTTACCCCTTTCTTATGTTAGCAGAACATGACCCAATAAATGTAGCTTTTGGATAACTGACTTTGTTGTATATGGATTTTCTCTAGAGAAAACGAAGACAGATATAGACTTTAACATTGGTAAGGTTAGGTGGAAATCGTATGAAACCCTTCCCTTTTGAAAATCTTCAGAAACCTTCTCACCAGTTTTGCATTAGCAACTGTGAACAGGTTTTAATAGTTGAGCTGGACACCCTAAAAAAGAAACAGATGATTGGCAATGAATGAATAAGGTTCTTCAGTGTCAATGCTTCTTGGAGTTTATGCCCAAGCCGATGATGAGTCGGATCTCTTTTAAGATATTTGTATCTTAGCATTGCAGTTGCACCAGTTAGACCTCTAGCATGTTAGCTTGTTGCAAAATGATAACAAAAGAGAAAATTGGAATTGCTTCAACAAGAAATGAGTATTCTTGTGGAAGTGTTAAGATTCATGGGTAAAATCAATAGTTGAATATCCGTCTTTGTTGCAAAATGGTAGCATATGTTTACTAGGAATCACATTAGGGGCTGTCAGTTTTTACCTCTTTCTTATGTTTCCTGAAAATTACCAGAGAAATGTAGAGTTCGTTTACCAGACTTCTGTTCTATATGAATTTTCTCCAGACCAAATGAAGATGGATAGACTTATTATTTGCAAAGATTAGGTGGAAATCATATGAAACCTTCACTTTTGAAAACCTTGAGAAGCCTTCTTACCAGTTTTGCATAAGCTGGAGTCCAGGGATTTCCAACAATAGCAATACTGAACAACTGGGAACAGGTCTTAATAGTTAAGCTGGAGACTCTACAGCATTAGATGGTTGGTAATGAATTAATGAGGTTCCTCAGCAGGGCCAATGCTTATTGGAGTTTATGCCCAAGGCGAGGAAGAGTTGAACCTCTTTTCATATGTACATATCTTAGCATTGTAGTTGCACCAGTAAGATCTATACAATGTTAGCTTGTTGCAAAATGGAAACAAAACATGAAACTTGGAACTCTGCTTCAACAAGATACAAGTACTCTTTTGGAAGAGTTGAGGTTCATGGGTAAAATCAACAATTGAATGGATTTCTTTGTTCAGTCTTTGCATGTATATGTGTTTGCGTGCACATGTATTCCAAGTTTTTAAAAATATGTCAATTTATAATCTTAGTAGGGGTAGTGGTTTATAGGAAATATGTTATCTTTAGTGGATTAATTTTTCTTGTAGTATGGGGGGCTCGCCCACAAAATGACCACTTGTGCATTGTTGTCTTTGCGACAGGAAGTTAGACACCGATGAAGTTTTCATGTTTTCCCCATTGTTTTGAAGATCTCTACCTTGTTAATTTTTCGGGTTTTCTAACTCATTGCTGCTGCTATCTTTTATATTCTTGTTTGTGGATTGATTAAGTTGTACTATGGGCTAGGCATTATATTCCGACAGCAGTAAGCTGATGGAAGAAACCTTTGCCACTTCTGAAACGCCAGCAGTTGAAATTTACCGTGTTGTGTTGCGCCAGATCTGTAATGGTGTATCCAATGGAAAAATTCCAATTTATATATCTAAATCTTTTCAAAAATTCCAAGATTGTCTTAAAAGGAGTACTTTTCAGCCATGATTGCTTCGGTGCCAACCCTCTACTCACCTACTTCACCTAAAGTTATTTCACCGGCCCTATTCTCTCTCCTGTGTACCCTCTCTAACCTCCTCTAGTCTCTCGCCTCACAAATTTCCCCATAGTAGAACCCACAACCTGGGTCCCCATAACCTTTGCTCCCAACTCCCACCAGAACCCCCAGACCCTCAATCTCTGTGTATGTAATTTTGTATCTATCGTTCATCCTCTGCAGCTATCGACTGTGGTGGGTGGAAAAGTTATGACGGAATTTTGGTATAGAATTTGATTTTAAATTCAAGTCAGAGTTGTAGATGCTCTTAAAAATAGTGGGTCTACTTTAATTTATAGTAATTTAACCACTACTGAATAAAATTAAAAGAAAATATAACGGAAAAGATGTTAATCCATATCATTATCTGTTGTTCACATCAAAGATATAGCCAAGCATACAGTGGATGGTGTCTGATAGAACATTGATGATACGTGTCCTAACTCCTCACTTTTGGATTAAAGCGAACACACCTGCAATTTGGGAGCTCTACACTAGAAACTCTATAGAGCCATAGAGACATCAACTCTAAAAAAAATGAAAATGGTGTCTCAAGTACTCTAGACTAGGGTGTCAAACGTGTCGGGTTAAACGGATGATGGGTGAAAAATATATAAACTCGTACACGACAAGTTTAATAAATTGGTAAAAAAAATTTACACAAACATGACTCATTTAATAAACAAATAACATGACACAACTCGTTTAACCCGTTTAATTTTAAAAAAAATTATATCAACAAATTTTAATAATCAATTTTTTTTTATTGTCAATTGCACTTACCTCAAAAAAGAAGAATTTTTAGACAAATCTCATAAAAATAAGACTTGAAGACTTAAAATAAAAAAGTAAGAGGTTATTGTTTTTTATAGACAACTTAGCCCTTCTTATCTCCTCTCATTTTCTAATGTGGGACAAAAACAAACGACTTTGGTTTGCTTTGGCTTTGAAGTGCTCCTCATCTCCTCTTCTTTATCTTTGAATTACTACTTTACTTCTTTTTTTTTATTGATTTTTTACTTCTTTTTTTCTTGCTAATTTTTTAAAATAATTATTAATTTATTATTATATTAATTTTATTTAAACGAGTAAACGTGTGATAAATGGTTTGACAGGTCTCACTAGAATACGACTCGTATATTAAACGTGTTTGGCGTGTCAACTCGTTTATCACCCAAACCTGCTTAATTCATGTCGATTAATCGTTTCGTGTCGAATTTTGACAGCTTTACTCTAGACCCATTCGGATACCCCAGTTCAAACATTTCTAATCCCTCACAATATAAGAGCAGGCATAACCCCTCAAAACTTTCGCCTATACATTCACACTTTGTCACTATCTAAATTAGCATCCAAAGTTGTAGACAGTGAGTATATTACGGGACATTTCAAAGGATCTTCCTTTTGCCCTCATGTCATTTAGTTTAAAATTAATCGTTTTCCCAGCAATGTCTCGGAATGCTCAATCACTCATGGTCATAAGTGACATGCCAAAGTAGTTGAACATTAATTCTTTCACTTTATGACATAGTCAAATGTCACAGATTACATAGAATATTTGGTTAAACAAAATAACTTGTTCATGTAAAAATGACTCGGAGGGCTCACACAGGGAGGAAACATGGATCAATTCTTTCACCTCCTTAATTGTCACCAAGCACATGTACTATGAAATACATGCTACGGTGGAGTGACTCGATCTTACTGAGAGCATATATCATACTCAGACGCCGTACAAATCTTAGTCTAGTCGTTCTACAATCGTCTAACCCGAGTTTTTTATTTGCTCGTCCTCCAAAGATGCCAAATTAAGATCTCGTATCTGGCTAATCAATAAACACAAGCATAATGGACATAGAGTTGTGTCCATTATCGATCTTCAAATGTCAGATTTCATTTTGTGTACAAAACAGAGCAATATTATATGCTAGAATATCTCATATTTGCTTGTCATATCAAGTGCCAAAGGCGATTGCTCGTGTGACTGAGCCAATCACGCCCGCTGACATACTTAATGTGTGTGTTTTCTCAAATATTAAGATAATCAAGAAATATAATATTTAATTGCAATTAAAACTATGTATTAATATTTCAAAAAATGTCAATACAAATGACTGTGTGATCTATTCAATCTCTAGCACATAATCAATACCTACAAAGTTCTAGAGTTTTAACATGAGTCATATACACATCTCTAGCTATAGGCTTAGTTAGGGGGTCTGCAACCATTTGAGTTGTAGGTATGTGTTTCGAGATTACTTCTTTTTGTGCAATCATGTCTTTGATATAATAATATCTTAGATTTATGTACTTGGTTCATCCATAATACTTAGGATCTTTAGCATAAGTTAATGCAGTCATGCTATCACAATGAATCGTCACTAGACCCAAGGTATTTGTGACAACTCCTAGATGTTGAAAGAACCTTCTTAACCAAACAAATTCTTATACAACAGCAGAACAAGCCATGTCTTTTGCTTCCATGGTGGACAAGGATATGCATGATTATTTTTTGCTATTCCATGTAATGGCGCCACCATTAAGTAAGAAAGCATATCCTAATGTGGACTTGCGTTCATCAATATCACCACCACAATCAGAATCACAATAACCAACCATCTGTAAATCTGAAGATTGGTAGCATAACATATAATCTGAAGTGCCCTTGAGATATCGTAGTATCGTTTTGATTGCCTTCCAATGAGCTATTCTAGGATTTGACTAAAAACGATTAACTAAGCCTATCGTATAGCAAGTATCGGGAGGGGTACATATCATAGCATACATTAAGCTACCTATAACACTGGCATAGGGAACACGAGCCATCTTTCCTTTTCCTCAAGAGACTTTGGGCTCATCTTTAGAC